TCATCGAGTTTTTCTTCAGGAAAACAGATTTTTTCCTTTTTTGGACCTTTTGCGCTAAATTTTCGTATCTTTTTGAAACTGGGGCCAGTTTTAGCGCAGAAACTCAGCTATTTTTGGCAAAATCACCACTCAAAAACAATTATTTGACGCGTTTGCGGCTGCCGCCGATCGGATTCCAAAAATTTCAAGGCCCCAAAAAAGCCCAAAACCTTTTCTAAAAAAGGACGCTTTCCCCAAAGAAATCGCCCAAAAACTCAAGGAGTTATGAGGATTTCTCGGTGCACAAAAGAACAGTTGTCGCCACAGATTTGTCCAGAGCTGACCCAGAAAATCCGGCAATATTCCAGATTTGGGAAACGTGGCAACGCACGCCATCGTCTATGCGCAGCTGTACGTCAGTGGCGTGCATCATGGACTGCACGTTTTCGTCGTCCCCATCCGCGACCCCGAGACCCTTCAGCCCTTCCCTGGGGTCACCGTTGGGGACATGGGAGAGAAAATCGGCCTCAATGGCATCGACAATGGGTATTTTCCCCCATCCCCACTCTTTTTTCTGCTGTTTCAAGCCCCCCGCCCTTTCCCTAGGTTCTTGCTGTTCTCCCACTACCGCATCCCTAGGGCGTATCTCCTGAACGACACCGGCGACGTCACGGAGGAGGGGCGTTACGTCACGCCCTATCAGAACGAGTCTCAGCGCTTTGGCGCCTCCCTCCTCGCCCTCTCCGCGTCCCGCGTCTGGGTGACCGCCCAATCGGACGCGTATGGGGGCTGCGCCCTCACCACCGCCCTCCGCTACTCGGCAGTGAGGCGCCAATTTGCGCCCAGCGAGGGGGAGCAGGAGGTGGCCATTCTGGAGTACCAAACGCAGGTGGGAGTGGCAAAGTGTTGTTTTATGCGTAACTTGCTTAATAGTTGTCGGATTTTGGCGGTTTTAACTGCGTTCTGGAGCTGAGGCTTTCCTCTATCCACCACGTGCTGGGAAATCACTTTCCTGAACAGACTAGGGGGTTTTTCTTTGAATCAAGATCATCGGAGTTTTGCCGGAAAATCGCATTTGACTATTTGGCGCCCAAACGAGGCACCCTAGGGAAAAGAGGTGCTTTTGATGAAAAACTGGCAGCGAACGGCGATTTTTGCACAACCCTAGTTTCACGAGTTTTTGAGTTAAGTTCAAAACTGCAGTTTTCGCAAAAAAGCCTCAAAATCTCCAGAACCAAAACTCGCCGGTACTTTCCGAGCACATCACTGGATAGAGGGGGGCAAATTGCATGAAAAAGTTGCTATTCACTTTTGGCCTAAACCGATCACTGAGGGAGTTACGGGCGCTTTTTTGCTTGTCCCCCCAATTTTGGAGAAATTTTGGAAATCCTGCCAATTTTCGATTGGACCATTATTTGTTGAAATTCCGCTCAATGGCCCTTGTAAAACCCAAACCTAGCAAAATCGCCCAAGTTCAATGGGGAAATTTCGAAAAATCGCCATCTTCAGGACTCCACAGCGCTTAAAGGGGTGGCATCCCCCCCCTGGAGTCTCAGTGCGGACACCAACCATCAAATATGTTGAAACCCAAGCGGACAAACACTGTGGGCAAAATTGGGGACATTTGGAGAAAAATTGGGGATTTTATGGAGGTTTGAAGCTCGCGCCCCCATAAGAGCCTGTCCTGAGTGCACGTTCTTTTCCCCCTACTTCGGTTGGGAAATTTTCCCCAAAGCAATTAGCCAGTGTTTTTTGTGTAGTTCGTCCATATGCCTCGTCCTAAGCAGGAAAATTTGCGAAGAAACACTTTTGATTTTTTTGGAAAATTTTCTCTGATCGAAACATTAGACTTTTTCCCGAAATTTACATTTAATTTGTTTGCGCCCAAACGAAGCTTCTTACCGAAAAATGGTTCTCTTAATGAAAAATTGCCGCTTCCGCGGTAGAGCCAATGGTAGTTTTTCCACACTTATCACATGCACAGTTTTGGCACAAATGTCAAAAAGATGTTTTTCACAAAAAGGTGAATAACTGCAACACCAAAGGCCCTCAGGAAATTCCAGGCACACCACTAGATCGAGAGGCCAGAATTGCATAAAAAAGTTGGTATGGACTTTTTCGTTAAAACACACACCAAGCGAGTTAAAGCCGATTTTTGGATTTTCCCCCAATTTTCGGAAAAAATTTGGAAATTTGGCCACAATTCAAATGAGCCATTTTTCGTCAAAATTCCACTCAATGGCCTATGAAAAACCCAAAACAAGCAAAATCGCCCAAATTCCATGGGGAAGTTTGGAAAAATCGCCATCTTCAGGGTTGCACAGTTCCTTCCTCCCTGGTTCTGTTGGGTATTTTTTCTTAAAACAATTAATCAGTGTTTCTCCTGTAGTTGATCCTTATGCTACGCTCTAAGCATGAAATTTTCCACAAACGCATTTTTCATTTTTGCTCAAAAATTTCCCCTGGTCGAAACCTCGGAATTTTGCCCGAAATTCACATTTTATTTTTTTGCGCCCAAACGAAGCTTCGAACCGAAAAATGGGTCTCTTGATGAAAAATTGCCGCTATCGCGCTAGAGCCAGTGGTAGTTTTTGCACACTTCTGCCATGCGCAGTTTTTGCACAAATGTGAAAAAGATGTTTCTCACAAAAGGGTGGATAACTCCAAAACCAAAGACAATCTATAAATTCCAGACACATCACTAGATCCCGAGCCCAGAAATGCATAAAAAAGTTGGTATGGACTTTTTCGTTAAAACACACACCAAGCGAGTTAATGCCGATTTTCGGATTTCTCCCCAATTTTCGAAAACATTTTGGAAATTCGGCCGACATTGAAATGAGTAATTTTTGGTCAAAATTCCACTCAATGGCCTTTGAAAAACCCAAACCAAGCAAAATCCCCCAAATTCAATGGGGAAATTTCGAAAAATCGCCATCTTCAGGACTCCACAGCGCTTAAAGGGGTGGCATCCCCCCTGGAGTCTCAATGCGGACACCAACCATCAAATATGTTGAAACCCAAGCGGACAAACACTGTAGGCAAAATTGGGGACATTTGGGGAAAAATTGGGGATTTTATGGCTGTTTGAAGCGCGCGCCCCCATAAGAGCCTGTCCTGAGTGCACGTTCTTTCCCCCCTGGTTCGGTTGGGGAATCTTCCCCAAAGAAATTAACCAGTGTTTTTTGTATAGTTCGTCCATATGCCACGCCCTAGGTAGGAAAATTTTCGAAAAAACGCTTTTGACTTTTTCTGGAAAATTTTCTCTGATCGAAATCTTAGAATTTTCCCCGAAATTTACATTTTAATTTTTGGCGCCCAAACAAAGCTTCTTACCGAAAAATGTGTCTCTTGATGAAAAATTGCCGCTATCGCGCTAGAGCCAGTGGTAGTTTTTGCACACTTCTACCATGCGCAGTTTTCGCACAAATGTCAAAAACATGTTTGTCACAAAAAGGTGGAAAACTCCAAAACCAAAAAGAATCAACAAATTCCAGACCCACCATTAGATCGAGAGCCCAAAAGTGCATAAAAAAGTTGGTATTGACTTTTTCGGTAACACAAACGCCAAGCGAGTTAAAGCCGATTTTTGGATTTCCCCCCAATTTTCGAAAAAAGTTTGGAAATTCGACCAACATTCAAATGAGCCATTTTTGGTCAAAATTCCACTCAATGGCCCGTGAAAAAGCCGAAACAAGCAAAATCGCCCAAATTCTATGGGGAAGTTTGGAAAAATCGCCATCTTCAGGGTTGCACACTTCTTTCCCCCCTGGTTCAGTTGGGATATTTTTTCCAAAACAATCAACCAGTGTTTCTCGTCAAGGTGATCCTTATGCCACGCTCTAAGCAGGAAAATTTTCCAAAAAAGACTTTTGATTTGTTTCTCGAAAATTTCCCCTGGTCGAAACCTCGGAACTTTGTCCGAAATTCACATTTTATTTTTTTGCGCCCAAACGAAGCTTCTTAGCGAAAATTGGTGCTCTTGCCAAAACATTGCCCTTAAAAAACGCGATCCAATGCAAATTTTGCCTTGCCTGCAGCTCAAACGGTTTTCGCACAACAGTCAAAAAGGTGTTTTTCCAAAAAACCTCGATATCTCCAAAACCGAAAACAACCAAAAAATTCCGAGCACACCACCAGATCGAGAGCCTCCAACTGCATAAAAAAGTTGGTGTTCACTTTTTCGCTAGAGCAAACCCTAGGCGAGATAGAGCCGATTTTCGGATTTTCCCCCCACTTGGGCCAAAAAGCCATGTAAAAAGCACGGCCCCTTTCGGCTGTATCCTGCTTAGTTCTGGGCGGATTTCAAAAATCCCAACAGCAGTTGAAAGCTGATTTCGCGCTCCACCAACCGCAGTGTGCGACCGACAAATCCGACCAAAATCAGCCAAGCTATGAGCAAATTTCCAGAAAACTGGTTTCCCCCCAGCAATACCGCCTGCTGCCCCACCTGGCGGCCGCCTACATGCTCAAGGTCTTCACGCGCTACCTGAACGACGTGTTCGAGCAGATGATTGGCCAGCCGCGCTCCGCCTCCATCTCCCTATTGGCCGTGGAGGTTCACGTGGTCACGTGCGCCGCCAAGCCGCTCTCCGGTTGGCTGATGCGCGACGCCATCCAGAGCTGCCGCGAGGCGTGCGGCGGGCACGGCTACCTCAAGGGGGCGGGGCTGGGGGCGTGGCGCGCCAATCAGGACGCCGCCCTCACCTACGAGGGCGAAAACTGGGTGCTCGTGCAGCAAACGTCGAACTTCCTGCTGAAGATCTGGCCGCAGATTCGGGCCGGCACGATCATCGAATCCCCCCTGGGCTCGGTGGATTTCCTCAATGAGTGGCAGGAGATTTTGAGGGCGCGCTTTGAGGCCACCACTGTGCAGGAGCTGTGCCGCCCTGCAGGTAGGGAGCGAGTGGGCGAGGGGTTGTGAGGTATGAGCGCGCACTTTGCAGGCATTCTGCGCATGTTCCAGTGGCGCGCCTGCTATCTGCTGCAGCAGACCGCGCAGGCGCTGGAGGGGCGGCTGGAGGGCGGCCAGACGAAGTTCTGGGCCAGAAGCGACTCGCAGGTGTTCGCCGCCAAGGATCTAGCGGTGGCCTTTAGTGAGGTGAGTGAGGGCGGTGGGGCGGGCAGCACGCACCCTCACTTTTCGCTTGCAGCACTTCCTCCTGCGGAAGTTCCTGGATAAAGTGGCCAGCTGCTCGGATGGCGGGCTGCGCCCGGTGCTGCTAAGGGTGTTCGCCCTCTACGGGCTCTTCAGCCTGGAAAAGTCCCTGGGGTTGCTGTACCAGGGCGGGTTCGCGCAGGGCGCCGCCCCCGGCCAGCTGATCCAGAGGGGCGTCCTGGAGCTGTGCGCCCAGTTGAAGGATGAGGCGGTCGCCCTTGTTGACGTGATCGCCCCGCCCGATGCTGTGCTGAACTCGACTCTGGGCGCGTCCGATGGGCGCGTTTATGGGCGGCTGGAGCAGGCGCTCTTCGGGTCGCCCTATGGGGCGGGCAGGCCCACCTGGTGGGCGGATATCGTCGGCTGGAAGCAGTTTGGCCTGCAGGCCAAACTTTGATTGACTGTTTTTGGGGTTTTTAAATATATTTTTGGGGTTTTTTGGAAAAAATGGGCGTTTTCTCAGTTCCCAAAGAGGCGAAACTCCGCTTTTCTGGAACAATTGGGGAAAAATACTCAGAGAAGATTCCTGGAAACTGGAGAGTGGGGGTTCCCCTTCAAGATGGTGAAACTTCCGTATTTGGCGCCATCTGGTTTGGACAGCAGCAATTTTTGAAAATTGGCTTTGTGAGTGAAACTTTCAACGTTGCAAGCTCCCCTTTAAAATCCTTTAGTTGCCGCATTTACTCCTCAATTTTAGTGAAACTTTCGGCCAGTGGAGAGTAGGGATTCCGCTATAAGATGGTGAAACTTCCAGTTTTTGCAC